AGGCAATCGTTCGATGGGCTGAATTGCACAAAACGCATGATTGCACCGGCTAGTCTGGTGCGCGTTTTTCTTCGTTCAAATGGTTTGCAGATGAAAGGAAATGCTTTCCCATGTTCTGCTTGTGGCTGGTGTTGTCATAGCGCCGGTCACGGCCACTTTCGCAGCTGTGGACGGTGCATTGTGTTACGGTGCACTGATGCTTGATTTACCGGTGAGGTATTTGCATATACAGTTAAGACATGGAAGCTTGAATGTTACCGAATCTGTTGGACCTTTGCGAGTATCGATCGCAGGATTGTGCCGATACAGGTTTCAGTTAATATTTATTCGAATAAACGGTCCTGGAAGAAAGTGCAATCTAAATATTTCAAATTCAGCCTTGAGATGCGCCTATTTCTCGCATACGAGCAAACTAAAGCTCGAGCTGAGACATTTTTTACACGCTTTTGTCCTGAAAATCGGACTAAATACAAGGCTATATTTTTATGTTTGCTTTTCATACGCAGGCTCATAAGTGCAGTATAAGCTTCCATCTACACTTATGGTTCGTTCGGGCGCGTCAAGTGTTTAATTTGCAAACAGTCGGTATCCCTGGAAAAAATAAATAGCAACGCGCACCAGACTAGCCGGTGCGATCATGCGTTTTGTGCAGTTCAGCCCATTGAACAATTGCCTATTAATGATTTCCACTGCTTTGTACTTTAGTCTATGCAAAAATAGTTGAAACGCTGAAAAATAGTTAAAAATTTCACACACCTGCGCATGAAAGCTAAATTTGAACCCTGAAGGGTGAATATCTTTCCGTGATTCTCGAGTTAATAGTTTACACGCCCAAATTTTCACGAGGCCGTAAGTGATACTCGAGAGCGCGGGGACGCTGGATATTTTCTTGCAAGATCGTTTGTGGGCAAAGGTCACAACCCTAAAATTTCAGCTTCATAGACGTTGTGGTTCCCAAGATAATAATTTACCCGCAAAAATTTTTACTAGCCCGTGAGCGATACTCGAGAGCGTGGGAACACTGAATTTGAATAGGCAAGATTGAGCGTAGGCAGGGGTCATTACCTTAAAATTTCAGCTTCCTAAACCCCGTGGTTCTCGAGATAAAAATTTACCCGTAAAAAATTTTCACGGGGCCGTACATGTTACCCGCGGGCAAGGAAAAACTGAATTTAAATTTTCTGGGTAGCACATGGGCGGGGGACATGCCCACGAAATTTCAGCCTTCTAGCTTACGTGGTTCCCGTGATAATAATTTTGCCCGAAGAAGCTTTTACTGGGCCATACGTGTTACCCGGGAAGGCTGAATTTAAATTTGCTGCCTCACACGTTGGCGGGAAACATTATACTAAAATTTCGGCCGCCTATCTTTGTGGTTCTCGAGTTGAAAGGGTGGGACAAAATGTGGGGGACACACAGACAACCCCGCGACAATATGCGTTTTGTACTGCTGTTACATAGCACAAAATGCATAAAAAGTCATATAGACTGGGATGGTGAAACTGTACGAGGGCTGGCTGCCCGTTCCTGTTCGCTGCAAAGGCATAAAATCATATTTCGCGTACGTCTGTTTCCCACATCCAAGCACGGCATATTTTTGGTTGCAAAATTTTCGCATTTTTCTAATTCGAGAATCGTATTGAATGGAAAACTGTGCTTTTATGTCAATGTTTGCTGCTCATGTGCAAACCTGCAGTCGCAAAATGAGGCTCTACTACTTTCACTCCCTGTGTGTGAATACATCGAAATTCAATTTTGCGAAGTTGTCTTCATCCTCCCCTCCGGTAAGCAAGCATTCGAAGAAGTTGAAATTTCATGAGCAGCACCGCCCGGTCACCCACTGAGTTGTTTCCCGAATATGGAATAGAAAAGGCCAACAAGAACATTTCTCATATGAGTGCACATATCAGACTGCGAAGCAATGAACAGTTGCTGACAATGCGACCTTGCTACTGTGAGAAACCTTACAAAAATGCATGATCGTATCAGTAATTCTTGTGTGAATAAACATTTGTATTAATACTAGTTCAACAATTAACAAAAAAAAAATCCTGATTTAAGTGCAGAATTAATAATTTAACTGCTGCCCTGGTCGGCAAGTGTGAAATTGCATGTTTTTTTTTGGAAATGTTTGTGTTAGCCGCGGTAAAAGCCATTATTACGTTTCGGAGTTTTGATGCAGCTAAGGATATTGCAGGCGGCAGCTGACTGATAATCATGATGGTTCTTACGTATTACGCATTCGATTGTGGTCTTCATGCGAAAGGCTTGTTGTGAATGTACATTCTCCAGAAGGAATTGCACTTTGTGACTCACCAATTATCCTTGCAAAAAGTTTGTTCACCATCTTTTGCAGCAGCAATTTAACTTCCAGAAATGTCAGAAACTATTCGCGAACAAAAAATCTACATCTGTACTCCTAATTTGCATTCGAAAATTGATGACAGCTACTTGAATGTGCACACACGAAGCATGCACACAGCCTCATCGGCGTGCATTTTCACACTGTAGATAAGAAAGCATTATATAAATAACGCGCGAAACACCGATGCCGCTGCGATCATGCTTTCTTGCTTGGTTTCATGCAACAGTGTGACTGGTAATACTAAAGAGAACATTTATTGCTTCACAGTGGTGTGTGCACTCATGTTGAAAATGTCTTCTTCCACATTTGAGAGGGAGAAGCATCAGCTGAGCGGTGTTTTTTGGACTGTGGGGCATTGTGAATTTTCATACTTTTAGCTTATCTGTTTGCCGTGAGAAAAGGATGCCGATGATTTTGCAAAAAGAGTTTTAGCTCTTATATGTGCGAGACGTAGGGTATGTGAAAGCTAATTTTATATCTTTGGAACACACAGACAAGTAACATCCTAGGAAAATTTTTTTATAGCTTGTTTGATTTTCCGAAGCGAAAAATATCGAGTTTTGCAAATTAAATTTGGGCTGACATGTGAACAACAAACACCATAGTAAAATGACAGCTTTCTACTCAGTCTGGTTTTCAAGTTAATTTTCGACTTTAAAAAGTATCAGTGGTATTTCAAGTCGAACTTTGTTTTACGCATACGAAACTTAAATTCTCGGAGATCTGAATTTAAAAACTTTAGCTCGCACGTGGATGGAGAATATCTTTGTAATTTTTTCAGCTTTCTAGCTTGCTTGGCTTCCGAAATCGTTTTTCGTTATAAAATAACTCGGACATGTTGTGATAGCGGATTTTACTATGTTAGAGTGCTGCATGAACAGAGAACATCCTCTTTGTTAAATTTTAGCTTTTGCCTTGTCCAGTTCCTGATCGCTCGCTCTAAAATGTTTCAGGGTGGTTCATTTTTTAGCTCCTTAGGTGCAAATGCTCTTTTTGTTTAGGTAATGGAGATTTGCTTTATTCGGAGTACTGTGACTGCCCGACCAAAGACCTTGCTGAATGGATGAAAGAGGCTGGCTGCCCAGCCGAATACAGGCAGCTTGACAGTGATTTGAATTACTGGCCGAAGATTGACTTCAGAAGTGTCTTGTCAACAGTCCATCTGAACTGGGCTAAACCGCAGCAGCGATACAGTATCGCTCTCTGTCATTATCAGATCGTTAATAACAAGGTGGGCAAGCATTTCTTTTTTTTTTTTGTTTGTGATTGCGTTGCGAAGCTTCTAATTACTTGGAATGAGGGAAGGAGGAGAGAAAATGCACTTGCTAAAAACTAGTTTTTTCGATATAAAGCAGCGATAACGGCCTCATCCCCTGTATATGGGATTTTTTGCGCTATAGCATTCCGTGGTTGGATTGAAATGCAGGCAGGTCCGCACTGACTTCATTACCTTTTTGAATGATTTTTGGATCCCCTTCGTTGAATTTCTTGTTTGTGATAAATTTTTAACTTGCTTTTGGAAAAGGTACACACCATCACTGTCAATTTGACGTCTGCACCTTTTGAAACTCAGTGATGCTTTATTGGTGCCTTTCTCTCGACTTAAGGGTCTTTTTTTCAATTTATGAATAAATCTTGAATTCTATTCAAAAACAGCGATCATTGCTACGGAGACAACGCTCCCGTTTCATACATTTTTCAGTTAAATTTTCATTGTTGTTGGTGCTATCATCAACCCGCCCCCCAGGTTATGTACGGCTTCGTAAAAGTTTTGGCGGGAAAATTGCTAACTTGGGAACCAGAGAAGCTGGGATTTTAGGAGAATATTCCCCATCCAAATACAGCTTGGAGGTTTCAAATTCAACTTTCAGGTGCGCACGATTCTCATGTACGAGAATTTAAATTTTTGACGGGAAAATTACTCATTGAACAGCTGGGTCATTTTCAAAAAACGACCGCTAAAC